AAATAATAATTAAACACTGCGTCGTCAAAGTTGGTATGTGGCTTTATCAGACACTTGCACTTAACATTTTATGAAAATCAAGCTCAAATGGAGTTAACAAGGTTTTTGACCAGCGAATGACGGAGATCTGTGTTTTGTCTGTCATTACAACGGCCGCATCTGAGGCAGCAAGTGCATCGCATTATACGCTTTCATCAGCTTACAGGTTATAACGTTTGTTGTAGCTTAGTTTTTCATGTCATTTAATACACTAGGCCAAAATCTCATGATAGACGATGAAGCGCTATATGCACAGGATATTTAAAACATAGCCTACAAAAGTAGCCTACATTAGCCATTTATAGACATAGTGTTTTATTGAAGAATACGCTGTACTTATTCAAACATCATTTATTATTTACCCTTGCATTGCGAACAAGCCGAGATCTATCTCCAGGCTGCGCCGCGCTTTGTTCTGAATGGAAGCAGGGTGAAGTTAAGCGGTTTGGCTGACAGTTTGAGGATCCATAGCGTTAAAAAGTTTAGTGACAAGCTCTTTTTAATGCTTTTCACGGGTTAAATATTTGTAAAACCCTCAAACAGACATAAGGAAGACCAATAGCAGTGATTTAAAACAATAATAACGAAATATAATAGAGTTTGGATTTTCCACGGCACACCTGACTGGGCTAGGGTATGGTGACTGCCATACGGAAACGCCGCCCCTGCTGCAGAGGATCCCTTTGTGAGCAAGAGATGGAATGCTAAACTTCTCCAAATCTGATGAAGAAACTCATTACTCATCTACATATTGGATGGCCTGAAAGTGAGTAAATCTTTAGCAATTTTTCATTTCTGGGTGAACTATGCCTTTAAACTAGGATAGAATAGAGCAGGGGTCACCACACTCGGTCCTGGAGGGCCGGTGTCGTGCAGAGCCTCAACACACCTGACTTGAAGTTTCAAGTATACCAAGCAAGACCTCGATTAGCTGCTTCAGGTGTGTTTGATTAGCGTTGGAGCTAAACTCTGCAGGACACCAGCCCTCCAGGAACAAACACCAGCTCAGAGCCGCAGCTTAATAAAATTATCTTTCCTTTTTATTCCTCTGTGTCTGGTGGCTATGTCGGACATGAGGAAACAGACAATAAAATTGATGGCCTAGAAATTTACTGCCTCGAAACTCTTCCTGGAGAAGCGCAACGCTCCGTCAGTCTGACCGGCGAACACTCCCTGAGGTCAGACAACAGATGAGACCTACAACACACGCTGGCAAACCAATCTGAAACTCCATTTCCCTTCTTTTTAGCTCATCTCTCCTCTGAAATTTAGAAGACAGGACACGATTTAAATACCAATATGAGTTCGTGAAAGGTGCATTTGATGCTTGGAGTTCAGCTCTCAGGAGAAGAAGCTACAAGAAAACAATTTCAAAGTGAAGGTCGTTGAGAAACATGGCATACAATACAACGCCCACAGAAAAACACAAGGCTTTTAACAGTCATTTCACTGTGAAAAGCTCTAGGATGCTTTCATGAGAACGAAAATCAACAGCTGCTTTTCTAGAAAACATTGATTTCTATATAGCACTACTTTCTCAGTCTTCTTTGAAACCAGTGAAAAACAACATTAACTGTAAAAGTAAGAATCTGAACCAATTTCTTTATTCCGCTCATTTTACTCTACTGCTTCTCCATGTTTACTGTACATTTAAAAGGTTGTTGAAGTTTCAAAGCGCCTGTTTATAACTAGACGTGTGCAAAACTCCACTAAACTTAAACATTTCATCTCAATGACTTGTAATTATATCAATGCAAGAGCACTAGAAGGAGCAGCGAATTATATAAAGCTACTTAGTAAAGCAAGCAACAACTCTAGTGTTTTTACCATGGTAAGAGGTGTTATATGCATCATACAAAGAAAAACAATCTTAACCATGGTAAAAATCACTTTAAAGTGGAGACTCAAGTCGATTACTGGGGTAAAGAAAATGCAACCGGAATAAGTGAAAGATACTGATTTTCAAAAAAAATTATATTAATAATAATATAAAATTTTTTATCCTACAGTTAATATGCAACATGATATTTTGATATGAATCTCAACTGATCTGCAATAACAGGTGTGCAGCTTCAGCTTAGGAACATTCTAGGAACAATAGTTTACGGATATAAAATAATAATAATAATAATAATAATGATGATGATGATGATGATATTCCTAAAACATTAGGAATCAAATCCAAATATATATATATATATATAAACACACACACACACACGGTATATATATATATATATACAGTATATACAGTATATACATACATAAATGCATACATACATGTATACAGTGGGTACGGAAAGTATTCAGACCCCCTTAAATTTTTCACTCTTTGTTATATTGCAGCCATTTGCTACCCATACACTAACATTGGGGAAACATTCTGTGTTTGCAGAGTTTCTGCCTGACAGCTGACATCAGCTTTGTTTGTCTGACCAGTAGTAGAGGGGGAAATGTTCAAGAAACCTGTTTGAAAAACATCATTTTTGCAAATTCACTTGGGACACAGAAATAATAATAGTATACAGCTACAATAATAGTATGATATGATAATTTCATAATAATATGACTAATATGATACGATAATAAGCATTCAGAACTGTAATTAATAAAGCATATAATACTGAAGAAATGAAGGTTTCAAATGAAGGACCGAGAGAGAGTCTGAGCTGTGGATGTACTTCACCTTAGTTTTTCATGTGATGCTATGTCAGAATATAGTATCAGCATATTTTAAACAGATTCTTAAATTTGTAATCCAACAGAATGTAGGTCAGAGCTTGTTAACAATTTCAGGGATTTAGTGTTTCAGCTGAAGTTTTCAAAGGAAAAACAAAAGCGTGGCAGGCTGGACATCGGCCAGTAGCTTTGGGTGGAAACGTCTGAGCTTTCCATGAGCGCTGGAACGCACACTTACACCGGATCATCTCACGAGAAGAGCAAGAAATTATATTCAGGCAAACGAGCTTCAACATGATCTGAACACTCAGCAAAAAGAAAAAAGAAAAACATTACGCTGGTTTATGTAGGAGTTGTTTGCATGCTAAAGCATTGGCCTCCACATTAGTTGTTTAACAGACCTGTGTGCAAATTGACTTCAATTAGTCTTATTACAGGGAAAATCCTCTTTTGTAGGCCCTGCTTCCCTCGACTGTTCCCTTTTTTTCCCCCAATTGTTTTGGATTGAGGAAAATAACAAGTTTATGATTCATACACGTTTTGTTCATGATAATCAAATTAAATTGATAAATTAAAAACAGATACTTCCCATTTTAATGAGAAAGATTAGGTTTATTTAGTACAAAAGTATTTTAGCATCTGATGGGGAAACACTCAAAAAAACATTGACATGATGCTACAATTATACCTGTGAGATACTGTCAAATATATCCATACACTGTTCTGATGGATATATTTTTATTAATTGGTGTCTGTTTTAACAAAGCAGCATTGTAAACCTGCTCCTAATAACCTAGAATAACTATAAAGACGAAAGAGAAATAATCACAATGCTGTCGTACATTTGAACAACACGTCTGTCCATCAGAGCCCAGTGTGTAAGTTTATAGTTCACAGGCACTTTACAGGGCTTCACTTCCAATAAACCCCTTCAGGGCAAACAATCAATCCACACACATACAATTTAAACAGTTATTGGTGCCAATCAAAGGGGGGGGGAATCAAGAACATTATTAATATAGTATTTTTGTAACCGTCTATCAGACTCCTGTGGTTCATTTAAATAATTCACCCAAAAATGGGATTTCTGGCATTATTCACTCACAAACCCACGCTCATAACATTTGAAGTTTATCTTCAGAAAAAGACTAAGAATAGTCGAATGGTTTACATTATGGAAAGGTATTGGAAAACTGAGTAAACGATGACCAAATGTTTCTTTTTGGGTGAACTATCATATTACCTTGTTAGAAAGAGGCTCAAACTAGAGCACAGAAACTCATTTGGTGTCTGACTCCTGCAGCTACTCTAACAGAGTGAACTCGGTGGGAGGGGCTACTTGAGGCCCCGCCTTATTGGAGGCTCCGCCTCTCACAGCTTGGCTTTGCCCGGCTGCAGCTGCAGGTTTTGAAGCTTCATTGCCATGCCCATGTTTCCGGTGATCTTCAGTTTGCCCTGGAAGAATGCCTGCATGAACGAGAGAGCACAAGAGAGTGATTAACATTGACTTTTTAGAAAACTTAACTCCTGAGAGGATAAGCTATTCATTTGTGTCCCAGAAATGTATTTGGGTCTTGGCAGAGGACATTTGTTTTTGTGAAGTATTTTTCTGTGACCTTACATGCCGCACTTTAGCGTCTCAAAAACCACATGCAGGGCTATTCAGAGATACTAAATGGGGGTTTGGCCATGAAAACATCCTCTGCCTGGATTTTTAAAACAAATGAACAAAAACAGTGATTTTGTATTTAATTTTTGTATCTGATTGACATTCAGATTTATTCTTGTAGAAGCCTCTCAGAAAAATTACAGTTAATAAAGCAGAATATGATTGTCTTTTTTAATAAATACATTGAATTTGTTTTTTTGTTGTTGTTTTTTTAAACACTTTGGACATCAAATGGACATCAGGAATAAGCATATAAATTAAAAATAAAAATAAAAAATCAAATGTTGTATTAATATAATATGGAATTTTATGGAGATTCATAAAAATTAGACAATATGTATGGTTTTACTGTATGTAGTAACACATTGTGTAATGAGTAAGGAATTGAACATTATATAAAAAATTGGTTTATGTATGTTTAATGGAAGTTAGCATTTATGTGAATAAGCTGAAAAACACAGCTAAGACAAAAAATAAATAAATCAACAAATAAATGCAATACTCTGTAAAATATTAAATATTTACATTAACAAAGATAGACTATGTATTATATATACTATATATAACACATTAAGTCACAAAGTAAATATTGTTTAAGATATTAAGGTATTTTGTAATACCTTTCATAAACTAGTTCAATACTATGTGGAAAGTTTGGTTTATATATATTTATTTGAAGTTAACATTTATGTGAAGTTAACCTTAATGTTGAAAAACACAGCATACACTATGCATACACTAAATGAATGAATGAAGGAAGGAATGAATAATAAATAAATGAGTCTCATGCATCTCATGCAGAGGCATAGCACACGTGAATGTTATATCAATTTAAAAAAAAAAAGAAATCTCAAAATCTTAGAAATAATTTATGATTTTCTGATGCAAGGAAAAACAATTCACAAAAAAACTCAAGGTACAACGAAGCTCAACAATTCGATTAACCTTTATTAACTGTCAGGTGAATTATCTCATAAACTGCTCTCTAGTCACATACAAAGACGTGCCGTGACATGATCGTGCAAGATCAACAGCAGGCTTTAATGAGTGCTTTTTTGAAGGGTAGAAATGCTCCTCGCAGAAGGGATGAACCCTGAAGTCATTTCAGTGAGTGACTCATGAAAGCTTTGTTTGTAAGCGGTGCACAACCGCACGCCTCCATCCCTGCTAACAGGAAGCACTCAGGTAGCACTAAAACAGAGCCGCCAGCGAACGTGGTTAATGACTTCTCGTTTCAGTCTGTCAGGGTTCCCACTCTTTCATGAACACCAGATTCAAGGACTTTCAAGGACTTTTTAAAGCACCATATATTTTATATCAAGCACCTATTAAATTCACACCCCAGCATATGTAGTGTCATGAAAGACCTTACAGTACTTAACATTTCACTACTTACACTTAACATTTACATTAAACATTTCAGAGTAATAATGTTT